TTCTAGAAAAAACACTATACTGGCATTAAATTGCGTTTATCCGGTCAATATTCATGGCAAAAAAACATGAGTTTGGCCTGATTATAATACAGTATAAAAGTGTATAGGAAATTTCAGTGGGTTTCGAGTCTTGGTATTCTACATTTCGGTTTTAAATTTTACAGAATAGCTCAATAACAAATGACAGGATATAGTATATTAAAATTAATTCATAATAATGAATGAAACTTATGACAAAACATAGAAAAGAGACTTGTCGATAAATTACACATCAAAATCACGAGATAAACGACGCAAACAAGTAGAAAGATGTGTATAAGAGACAGATGCCAATTCGCGAAATGGAATCGTCCAAATTTTTGATCAGTATCTTGAACCACTCGTCGTCAACGCGAAGAGATTTTAATCCCCAACCACGCGTTGTAGACGGGTATACGCGTTGCTTTATTTTGCGAGGCTCCCCTACTATAAAGGAAAAAGAGGGTTTTCATCATACTAAGAAACCCCAGGCCCCGTCGCAATGTTCTCTAGTTTTCTTAGAAAATCACTACGGTCCCGCAAGCCATGATACGGGCATTTTGTTTACATTTACAAAAATTTAGTTGTCTATGTTGGTATTGGCTATTCATCCACAGCTCCATTTTAGGAATATCACAAGTATTGAAACTCATTTATGTACCTTTTTCACTTCTCAGAAAGGTGCAGGAGGGAATCCTGAATGCGTGTTTTGGGACTTTGATTTGGAAAACGGCCAAGGCGACTGGTCCAACGAAGGCTGTGATTACAACGAAACATCCGGCGGTCGAACCGTGTGCTTCTGTGACCATTTAACAAACTTTGCTGTTATCATGGTTTGTATATGTTGTTGTTTGTATTGATATTAGGGCTATAAATCTCCACATACGCCTCGAGATTTTATGTATCAAATAGATGCATCTATTTTTACTTTATTTGATTATTTTATTTAGGCTACTTTATTCTAAATTTTTTTTCTTTGTTGTTTTAATGTTTCTTTTGCCTATTGGTTTTTAATCTTGCTCATTCATTTACATCTTTAATTTTAATTTAATTTTAATTTTTATACTAATTCTTTTCATTTAATTTTGAATTAATTCCTTAAGTATGTAAATTTTGAATTAAGAGGTTGTTATTTATTTTACTGTAAATTAATTAGTTTAATACTCTCTTTTGTTTTACTATGTGTATTGAATGAGGGTCCCTAATGACAGCTTCGGCTGGATTGACCACTCTCATTAAAGATTGTTGAAATAAAAATAAAAATAAAATGTTTTTTAAAAATAAATTTTAACCGAATCTCTATTATAAATATTATTAAAGTTTTTGGTGTTTTGTTGGGACTTCTGGCTCACTGTGTCATAGAGAAAATTGCTTCCTTAGAAGTCTCAGGGCCTTTGTGTCTAATAAATAAATGAAATGAAATAAAATTCAACATAAATATGCATCTTATGATTGATTTCAAAAAGGATTATTCTGGTCAAGCCGGTCCAACCACGAGGTTTCAAGATGCATTGTCCTACATCAGTAGTATAGGATGTGTAATATCTATCGTCTGCTTGGTTATTACTATTATTACATTTATGTACTTCAAGTAAGTTAATTATTTTATTATATCCGCCTGTCCCAACTGTATACTTTTGATTAATATTTATTTCATCTAAACAACATAAACGCAAAAGAGCTTGATGAATTACACGAGACAAATATAACCACAAAATGATTCTCTTAAACACAGGGTCATTACGATGCCTAGGGAAAAATATTTAAAACTATTACAAGTATTGAACTGTTAATCTGATTATCATTTATATTTTTTCTAAACAGACACTTACGAGGAAAGCGCCATCAGCGTATACTCTTGAATTTGTGTTTTTCTCTGCTGTTTCTGTATCTAACTTTTGTCATCGGGATTGAGTTGACTAGTTGTTACAGTTGCTGTATTGTCATAGCAATCATGCTGCATTACTTCGTTCTTACGACGCTCTTTTGGATGCTTGTTGAGGCGATAAATATGTACCTACAATTTGTGTTGGTATTCTACCACGAAATACGCAGATTTACGTTAAAATCTGTACTTCTTGGTTGGGGTAAGTGTACCTAAGCCCATTTTTGCATCTTCTACGTGTATACAAATAGTATTGCAGGAATAATGACATCATGAACTATACAGTACAAGGTATTTGTATAAAAATGTTTGTCATAAAGTCTAATATTAGAAGCCACCCTTTCCTGTCTTTAGCAGATCGCGTGCAAAATTGGCAATATTTTTATCTCATTCCTCCACCACTTTACCTCACTATTATTCTCTTACTATACGCCGATGATTTCGTGACTAAACTTTCACACTATAAGTACACCATTCCTCGTCCCTACTCATCATTCTTAGTGTGGTGTCTCATCCATAATTTTTAGAGCGGTGTCCCACGCATCTCGATTTGCTTGCTTTGCGTAGGGCCTAGTTGGAGCTTAATGCATGGCAAATAACGGAGATATGCGCAACAGTGTGAGAAATTAGTTGCTTTAATCAGATTTGAATTCTTGAAAAAGGCTCTTAATTATAATACAGATTAATACTATGCACACGCCTTTACCAACTGGGCCATATGGAAAACTGGGGTAGCCTACTCAATTAGAAACCTACCGGTCTAAAAAAAAGTAACATAGATCATCATTTTTCGAATGAAAAGTGGAGTTGAACTGAGCTCAGTGGTTAAGATACTTGCTTTCTGATCCCAAGGTCCTAGGTTCTATTTCTGTCACATGCAGGACTTTTTCTCACGACAAAAACAACTCCACTCCCTAAGCCTTATAAAAAGATTTCGCATTATTTCATTTATTTAAAGAGGGCCCTGGATATCAGTAGACCTTGTAGGATACGCTGGAATGGTACAAACATTCATACAATGGAGGGATTCGGCAAAGATGGTTTACAGGCGGTCAAGTGGGTATACTGTACATGAAAAACATTACAGTGCGATGCTATAGCATAGGAAAAGATAATGTTATGGTTGCGAATACAACCACCCACTGTTAACGCGAGAAGTAAATTGCTAGGAAAGGCAATACGATTATTTAAAAATAGTGTTTATTTACTTATCCTAGCGTTCTCCTTGGAATGTATGCTTTGAAATATAAGTGATCCTTCAAAAACCTTAGCTGGCCATAACATCGCAGCGTAGTTTCGCGGGTCGAAGACCATCATGCATACCTAACCATGCCGTAGATGTGCAGGGGCCTAGGCCTAACATTTTGTCGAAAAATCTCAATGTTTGCTGCCAGTATTCTTTACAGCATTAGAAAACCATTAAGGCAAAATTCTTAAGTTTAATTTCCAGTCAATTTGGTATAGCTTACTGGGAATTATGATGATTTTTACAACAATAACAAGGGATGACCACCATAGCAATCTCCATGTAGAACACCGCTTTGCCAGTCGACTGTGTATATCCAGGCAACAACCAAGTTAGGTCACGTGACGGCCATTGCGGAATCCCTTCGGGTTACATGTACGTGGTATGAATTTAGTCTTCAAATAGCTATAGTAAATAAATATTTTTGTAGACCTGTCTTGAGTGCAAACACTGTCTCTTATACACATCTAGATGTGTATAAGAGACAGGTACAAACATTCATACAATGGAGGGATTCGGCAAAGATGGTTTACAGGCGGTCACACTTCTGAGCCTGTGTTGTGCTTCGCACACGCCGCTGAGGGCGGCGTTCCGGGAACCCTGCGTCCAGGCAACAACCAAGTTAGGTCACGTGACGGCCATTGCCGAATCCCTTCGGGTTACATGTACGTGGTATGAATTTAGTCTTCAAATAGCTATAGTAAATAAATATTTTTGTAGACCTGTCTTGAGTGCAAACATGGGTTGCTTAAAGTAGGCCTACAGGTCGGTTTAATAATATGATTATTTAGGGCGATATTTGTTTTGTAAAAAAGAAAGATTTAATACTTTTAATTAACAGGTGTACCTATAATACCAGTTGCAATAATTTCTGCCACAAAGTACAAGGGAAAATATTTCAACGAAAATTAGTAAGTGTATTTATTATACATCAATGTTGCAACACTCTACTATTCTTACGTAATTTGATGATGATAATGATGTTAATGATAATGACGGTGATGATAATATCGATGATTATAATGCTAATAATAATTGTTATAATCTAAGCCTTTCTCATCATGATTCCGAGAATTATTTTTAGTGAGGAAACAAATGAAGAGACGCCATTAATTTGTTTTATAAGACAAAGAGCTACGAACTCAAAGAATGAAGAAAAAATACAATGAGTTAAGTGTCAGTCCGTATACAGAACGCATTGCCATCATAATGCTTCTGGGCCGGGCCTAACATGAAAATAATGTTCCTGCTTCTTGCGCTGTAGACCCGGTTTAAACCCAGTCAGCTTCGGGTTTTAACTGGAGTAAGATTGCTATGTTCCTCGTACGGTAACTCTCGTATAGGTGTGGGGCCAGTGGGGGCCGGGGCTAGGGTTCTATATGTATTGTCTACATATTAGTAGATTCCCAAATTGATTAAATAAGCCTTTGAAACCCCCAAATTGTCATATTATTTTTCGGGGGTGGGGGGAGGGACCCGCACCCTGGAACACTTTCCAGAGATCTTGTGCGACGTTCGACCACGCCCACTTTTCTTCGTCGGGGATCTCGGACCCCCCGTCGGGCAAATCCTGGCGCCGCCACTGCCCTCGCATTAGAATTTGGCAGAATATGGGACCGGGACAATGTGTCCATTATATGTCGGTACTGGTGTTGCACTGAGGATGCTGTGGATTCCGAGGGCCCCAGCCAAAATTTCACATTTCAAATTTTTTAAATTAGAAATTTAAAAAAAAATGTTTGTACATGTACGTCGATAAACTGGTGGGAGAGCGATTCGGTTCACAGAAGTTTTAAAGAAACAATCAAATGTAATAATTTATTTCTCTATCATAAGCAGTATTAAATTAGATAATAATCTAATTATAAAAATATCAATTCTCAAATTTTTATTTTTCTGGTGTTCATCAATGATGTTTTTAAAGTATTGGTTTATTTTCTTTCAGCTGTTTTATGAAACACGGCTTAGAATTTTATCTGGGATTACTGGCCATTGCTGCAGTTATTCTCATCATAAACTCTGTCATCTATATTCAAATCATTCGACAACTGACATGTCGACGAAAGGTTATGAAAGCTAAGACTGACAGCATTAAAATGAGTGAGCTGTCGGTCCGTGTGCAAAACGCAATTGCTATCATGATGCTTCTGGGCCCGACCTGGATTTTTGGGTTCTTGGCAATAGACGCATCCGACACTGTCCGCGATCTCTTCCAGTTGATATTCTGTGTTTGTAACTCGTTGCAGGGTTTCTTTGTGTTCATATTGTTCTGTGTTCGTCAACGAGATGTGAGAGATTTATGGGCAAATTTCTGCTGTAGTGCTGGCGAGAAGCCAAGTCAGTCAACAACGGTTTCAAAGCAACTCTCCGGAACCGAGGAGGATTCTGTCTTAGCTAATTCCACCTATATCAATTCCTTGTACGGCATTACCATTTATGCAGTGCGACCTTCAACTGATAAGTGATTTACACTGTAATTCGCACCGAGTTTAGCTCGGACACCCCAGCTAACAATATTACGTTATAATAACGTCTTACTAACGTTACAGTTTGTGATGTTAAGAACGTTTTGATATAACGTCCTACTAACGTAAATTTGTAGAACCATTTTTACGTACATATAACCCGAAGTATAACGTTTACATATAACGTTAATATAACGTTATATACAAACTATATAAAAACGTTGAAAAATAACGTTTAGGAAACGTATTACGTAATTATAACGTATATATTTAAAGTTAATTCATCACGTTTATGTAACGTTATTGACACGTTATTATAACGTTACATAGATGGCTGTTAAGAACCTTCTTATATAACGTTCTACTAACGTAAATTTGTAGAATACATATAACTTAAAATATAACGTTTGAATATAACGTTCATATAACGTTATCAACACACTATAGTAAAACGTTCAAAAATAACTTTCAAAATACGTTATAATGACGTAATTGTTTGGTACATTAACTGTCTTTATAAAACGTTCTAAGAACTTATTTTTGTAGTAAAATATTTACGTATTTATTACGTATATATAACGTTCATTCATTATATTTATGTAACGTTATTAACAAACGTTATAATAACGTAATATAGTTTAGTGTTAAGAACGTTCTCATATAACGTTCTATGAACGTACATTTATAGAACCATATATACGTACATATAACTTGAAATATTACGTTTAAATACAATATTCAAATAACATTTATGCAAAGTTTATTAATAACGTTAGATATATGTAATATTTGAACGTTATATATTGAGTTATAATTACGTAAATATGGTTCTACAACAAAACGTTCTTATAACGTGATATAGACAACACCAACGTCATTATAGCATTTGTTAATAACGTTATAATGTAAGTTATAAATACGTAATTATGGGTCTACAAATATACGTTCATACAACGGTATATAAAGACGTTAGCAACTAACAGTTTTACGTTTTTATAACATTTCTTGAACGTTATGCTTCAATGTTCATATTAACATTACATAAATGTTATATTTGTACGTTATATATTAAGTTATAAATACGTAAATATGGTTCTACAAAAATACGTTCATTTAACTTTATATAAAAACGTCGTTAACACCAAACTGCTAACGTTATTATAACGCGTGTTATTAACGTTACATAAATGTAAAATTTGAACGTTATACTTTAGGTTATAAATATGTAATTATGCTTCTACATATATACATTCATAGAACGTTATATTTTACGTTTTTATAACATTTTCAAACGTTATGTTGCAACGTTTAATATTTTTTACGGTACATAAATGTAATATTTAAACATTATATTGTAAGTTATAAATACGTAACTATAGTTCTACAAAAATACGTTTTTATAACGTTATATAGACGTATATAGCAACTAACTAGTTTACGTTTTCATAACGTTATGTTGCAATAATGTTATTATTAACGTTACATAAATGTAATATTTGAACGTTACATTTTAAGTTATAAAAACGTAAATAAAAAACGATCTATGACGGTAACAATAATCAAGTTTATAAAACATACTCAACGATTCGAGACATATATTCTTCTAAATTCAGTGGTTTAAATTATGGTTTTAAATTAAAATATTACGAAAATAATAATAATTTGCGATACAGACAAGACATAATTAAGTACACTTAACTGAGTATATTTTCAAACCTTAAAAGTTGACCTAGAAAGCATTCAATGTGTACACAAGCATAAAGTAAGCTATTGTCAATACATTCAATGAGCGATTAACAGTATTCTGTCTGGCATGGAAGCAATACCATGCCGAAAACGCCAAAGAACCATTCTTCGTACAAAAGAACTGTTATTCGTAAGGTACTTTTTTAGTTGCAACATGTAAATAGTGGCCTAATTTGACCTATGTTCAACTTAGCCAGTAGGCTAGGCCTATTTCTTGTACTAGTCAGTAGTAGTAGAATTGTTGAAAACGACAGAATTGATAATTAATTTTTATCAGACTTTGTAAAATATTTCATGTAAATAATTTTAGTTCAGCGGCGATTTTGAAAAAGATGCCTAAAAATTGGTGTAGCCAGTAGTGTTTCGTAATAATAATAATAATAATAATAATAATAATAATAATAATAATAATAATAATAATAATAATAATAATAATAATAATAACTTAATCTTTGCTGCTCTGTTTTGGAGAATTTGTAATGGATGACAACTATGCTAAAATATATGTATATATATTTTTTTTTTTGGTTTTAGGGGGTTTTCACATTTAGTTATTTAATATTATTATCGCTGAATTTGTATAATTGAATGCCAATTGTTTATTATATTCTGCAATACTATATTCTCTACTGTATAACTTAATTTTCATTATATGTAGGCCTAATATTACAAGGAAGTAAATAAATGTTTATTTGAATTTGAAATTTGAATTTGTAGTTGTTAAATACAAGCACTTCAGCCGAGAGGGCATGACTGTTTATGGTGATGTACGGTAATGCATAATTTCAGCTGTACCACGTCTTATTCCTAATCTCCTCGACAAATAGTGGGCCCAAAAATTAGGATCCCTGGAATATTCTAGAGTGAAATAGCTGACGTTAGCGACAGGGCCTGCGGAACGTTTTTCAAAGTGGGGGCCCCACTTATAAGCAGGCGCGTAACAGGGGTCTTGGGTCGGGGTGGGGTGGGGGGCGGCAAAGGTAATAATTTTCCCGGTTAGTAATTTATGACTTGGTGTGATACCTCCACCCCCATATAGAAAACAATACGACATAGGGCTTATTTTATTATTAATATAGGCCACACACGTGTTTGAAACTAAATAATAAGTATTTTCATCGTAGTTTTATTTATTACAATCATAGGCCTATTCTTTCACCATCATTACACATTGAGGCCCTTCTTTTAGGTAAAACGATCTATCTTAAATTTTATTTCTCAAGTTTGGGACTATTATGTTTTTAAATAAGTTAGAAGGCAAAGGAGGGCAAGCAGAAGCTTTAACCCTAAGGAATGCGCGCGAAAAAGTTTTGTGTTTTTAATTCTAATTTTGTCGGAATTGATCAAAACTCCCTAAATGGGCAATTTTTAGAGGAAATTGGCCTACCTCAACAAGAAATGCTCTTATGTTATATATGGCCAAACTCGTTTTTTTAAACTGAATATAAGCATTTTCTTTTGGCCTTATTTATTACAAACATATTCTTTCAACATCATTACACATTGAGGCACTTCTTTTAGGTAAAACGATCTATCTTAAATTTTCTTTCTTGAGTTTGGGTCTATGTGTTATAACATAGAAAGGCAAAGGAGAGCAAGCACAATCTTTAACATGAAAAAATGCGCGCGAAAAATTTTTGTGTTTTTTAATTCTAATTTCGTCGGAATTGATCCAAACTCAGTAAAATGTGCAATTTTTTAGAGGAAATTGGCCTACCTCAACAAAATATGCGATTTAAAATTTGAGATTTTCAGGAACTTTCCCGGGTGAAAAGGGCATTCAATGGGGAAAGATTTTCCACTGATGGATATTTTCCCCTTGTCCCCGGTGGTTACACCACTGCGGAGAATACCTGGCTGCTTGGATCAAATGCGATATGGACACTTTTTGAAGTGGAGAAGGGGTTGCAGGCCGGGGTATTCTGATATCTGTTCATTATATCTTCCTTTTTATTCTTGTCTTAATTTTTCTCTTCTCCTTTTCTTTTCCTTTTTCTTTCCCCTTCTTTCTCTTTCCCTCCCTCTCCCATCTTTCTTTTCTCTTCTTACCCAGCCCGGTACGACGGCTTGGTTAGCCCGGTAAAAACCGACAGTCTTCCCCCTCGGCCCCCTGCCTGTTACGCCGTTGCTTATAAGATGAATGGGAATATGAATCATGCAGATCTGGAATCAAATCTAGGTGGTGGGGTCAACATTCCTCCCCCGGGAAAATTTTGATTTCTAGATGGCGGGAAATGACCTTTCTCGACTTTTGAGCTAGGTGTCTAATGACTTTGTTCTTTAAAATTCAAGGTTTTCCCCCTCATGATCGAAAACGGTAAGGTAAACTTTCTCATTATAGTAAATAGGCCTGTTATGTGTGTATATACATACATTTAAAAAAAAATTGAGTAGTTGCATACGATTTTTTCCATGAGATGAATCCCAAAAAGAAAGGAGGGTCCGGGGGTTCTTCCCCAGGAAAATGTTTATTCCTAGAAGGAGGGAAATGAGCTTTCCCGACTTCTGAGGTGTCTTTTAAATTAAAGTAATTAAAAATTACTTCAGAAGTCGGGAAATCTCCTTGTCCACCATTTATAAATCAACATTTTCCCGGGAAGAACTCGACATCCCTTTCTCTGGGTTCATTGATTTATTATAATAATTTTCAAGAGGGGAACACCTTGAATTTTGAAGAACTTAAAAGTAATTAAGTTCTTCAAAATTCAAGGTTTTCCACTCTTGAAAACGGTCAGATAAT